TTCTCCTCAGCCATATTCCATATCCGGTCAATGAACGAACTAAACTCAGAAATTCCACAATTAAAAGAACGAATTGCACAGTGCGATCCACATCAAAAATAACCAATTTAACTACGAAATTTTATCTGATAATTATGAAATTTCAATAACCAAAACAAAGGACAAATAAATCCAAAAACGTCTGATTTGATCTGACAGTGACAAATGACGGGCAGGCGATGATCAAAGATATAGAGAGATGGACAAAAACCCTACTGCTGGTCGGCATCAGTGACAATATATGTATAATATCGCGGTGTATATCGGGGTTGCATAATCGTAAAATTTAAATAAAATAATATTTAACACTAAAATTATAGTAAACATGATGCAAAAATAATAGCTATTTGCGATATTTTATGAGTTGGCACACAGAGGTCGTTGCGAGGAAATTTGACTGTTACAAAATCGATTAAGGTTTTCTCAAATTACCTAAAATCGGCTTGTCCAAAATTGTTCAAATTTGGCATGTGTGTTTACCAAATGTAGCCCTTTAAAAAGTCTATTTACGACTTCGCTATAAAATCCATAGGAGAGCCAATATCTGGACAGTTGGTATATATCCTATACTCTAGATGGCAAGCAACCTTCTTAGTTTAATGATACTTGAGTTGTACCAATTTAGGGGTATATTATGGAGTGTAATTGTGTTGTTTTTGACGTTCCAGGTATATAGGGGCTTACACTGACGATCCCATTCCGGGAAACGTGACGTTGCCTCCCGGGACACCTTTCAAACACGACCACCATGGTCAAGACTCAGCCACAGGCATCCTCTTCGCTTCCAAAGTGAGTAACAACTTAAATCTTTATAGAAAACTAGCTACTCAAGACTCTGGCTATCCTCTTTTTTCCCTGTAAACTCCTTTTATAGCAATATTTCCATTGTTTTTTTTTAAATACAGTTTCATTTGAACTGAATATGACCCCGATGAACAGTTGCCTGTATGTGATTAGAACAACTGCAGTATGTCTAGGTACGATATTAGAGTCCGTTTTGCTATAGTCCCAAAAAGTAGCAAAATAAGAGTTCGGCATTTAACGTTTTATGTTAAACTGGCTAGGTATTTTTACACAAATGAAGAAGGAAATTAAAGATAAAGGATTATACTATCATCAGAAATTAAAGATTAAAGGATCATACGTCAAACATCAACAAAATATTCCTTTTGTTTGGAATATATTTTCTCGAAAATAAAGACATAATTTAAAATTCCGTTACATTACGAAAATAGATTGAAGTTTTGTGGTTGTAGTTGTGTATATATCACTGTAGAATTTAGAATTTAGAATGAGTGGGAGGGGGGTATAATATCACTGAGACCACACTGCGACCTTACAGATCCATTGTGTCCCCCTTTCTTGAGTCATAACTCATCATACAGTCCCAGGGCTTTGACAAAAGCCAGTATCTGGGACGGTTTTATAGAGGGTAGTTCTCCATCTCCAATATCAGTCGTACCAAAATTCATGGCACGAATGGTTGTCGTCTCGGCGCACTCAGTGATGAGGTGTACTGGTGTTTCCCCATCTTCCCCACAGAATCTGCATTCGCCGTTTCTTCTTAGTTTCAATCTGAGGTGTTCATTGAGGAGACAGTGTCCTGTTAAAACCCCGTGACAATCCGAAGATTGTTCTTACTTAAACCCAGGAAGATCTGTGATTTTTTCTTGATCATAAGCCCTCAGAAACTTCTTCGAGTGTCTTAGACCGTTGCAAGATTTCCATTCCAGGTTGCGGATGGAATCTTCCAAGTTCTTGAGTTCCGCCTTGAGTTGGTTACCACTTGGAAAGCAGAACGGTTCTGGTCCAGTTAGTGGAGTGTTCGCTCCTTTCCTAGCTAGATTATTTGCTTTTTCATTGCCTTCTATCCCTTGGTGAGCAGGCACCCAGTGTAGGAGGACTTTGTTTTCTTTGCCTAATTTATTCAGCTTCTCTATGCATTCTTTGACCAATTTCAAATCGATTGATACTGAGTTGATCGCCTTTAACGCTGCTTGACTATCAGATAAGATGGCTATTTCTTGTTTCCGATAGTTCCTATCTAAGATAAGTTGTACGCATCTCTCGATAGCGTAGATTTCTGCCTGTAGGATACTAGGGTAAGTGCCCATTGGTTCGGAGTAATTAGCTCTCGGCGCAAACACTCCGATCCCTGTTCCCGTATTGGTTTTGGAAGCATCAGTATACCAAGTTATGGTATGGTCTTTTAACTGCTGGGCAAGCGTTTCGCTCTTCCAATCCTTCTTATTGCTCAATACTACATTGACATGTTTGTCAAAGTTGTACGTTCTGGCATATCGTCCACTGGGAGTTTCAGGAGTGGTATTTCCTTTTTGAGGGTGTTCCAAGCCCCTGATCTGACAATTCTCCCAGTTCTAATTCCGTTAGTGACCATTCTAATCATTGTCGCATGGGCATCTCTACCAATGACAATGTGCAGTGGTGTTAGATCTAGAATGACCTCCATTGCTGCTGTTGGACAGGTTTTCATGGCTCCTGTGATACAAACGCATGCTAGTCTCTGGACTTTGCACAAGTTTAGCCTTGCCGTCCGTTGCTCTAGTTTTGTGAACCAGGCAACTGCTCCATAAGTAATCATGGGTCTTACTATCATGGTATACATCCAGCGCAAAGTGTTAGGGGAGCAGCCCCATCTATTTCCGGCCAGTCTTCTGCATATCATGAGAGCCTTTATGGCTTTGCTGGTAGTGTTCTTAATATGCCTGTTCCACAGGAGTTTACTGTCCAGGGTTATTCCCAGATATTTAACTTCCTGTGTTGGCAGTATTACCTTTCCATCTAGTTGAATTCTTTTCAAGTTTTTCAGACTTCGCTTTCTGGTGAATGGCACTATCGCGGTTTTGTCTGAGTTGATACTCAGCACGACAGTCCTACACCATCTCTCAGTGATACGGAGTCGTCTTTGGATAATATTACACAGGGTGCCTTTTCCCCCGAGCGATGATGACTATGTCATCTGCATACCCAATGCAGTGTATTCCCGCTAGAGTTTATCACTGTAATATAATTTATATGGTTTTGTAACAAATCTCTCTCTATTTTATGGCAAATGCTGAATCTCTGCAAACCTTTATCAAGCAGAGAAAATTAATCAGTAATAATTAACAAAAGATATATAGATATTGGGCGCCAGGCATGTACAGAGATAGAAAACACAGTTGTATAATACTTAAAACTAATGACTATATTTATTCATGACGTTCTTTGCTGATACATGACATTGTAGAGTTCTAGGAATTTTACAGTGGATTATATGTCACAGAAAGTGGTGGTAAGAGTCGTACCTAAATATCAATGAAAACAACAACGATGTGTCACGCGACAGGACATGTAAAATTTAAGAGAAAATATGAAATGTAGCATTACTCTTAATTAATTTGATATATTCCATATGATGCGAAATCGAAGATGTTATAACCTGTAGATTCTAGAAGCCTAATTTGATTATCCATCTGCAACGTAATGCAATAATATCTAATTCACAGAAATACCACCACAAGACGTAATGCAATGAAACCTAAGATCTAAATTATATTTTAAAGATTATATCGACATGAATTTTTATGATTTAACCACTGAACATATGTCAGACGGCAGTGAAGGAAAACAAAACAAAAGTATTTAAGTGTGGAGGGATGTTTGAAGATCATAATTATTGAAACAACGCAAACAACTTTATTGATAAATGTATTGTTTCTACTTTGAAAAATACTAATGGGCCTTAAAATTAAAGAAGTTTTAAAAATTTCTTGAATTTTTTTTTTTTAGTAAAATGAGAATAATTTATTCGCAGTCGAAAAATTGTTTCGCGCGTGTTTTTAGGGTCAAATACTTAAGATGTAATGTTATTGTTCAAGACTGAAAATGTTTTAGATGTTAAATGAAAAACTAGAATTTAATATACATGGCGGCTGTTCTTTTATGTTGTTTTGCTTCAAGATGGAGTAGCGTGAGGTGGTCTAGCATCTCTGTACTGTCTGTCGGCGATCCTGTTGGTCAAAAACAACAAAAAAGGGGCCAGATTGAGGACACCATGAATCCTTACAGCCGCAGCCACTGATCAGGCTTAGAAATGGGAGTGAAGCAGCATGGGACTCAAGCTACATCCACGCTGTGGCACTTAGATGCAAGAAAAAATCGCTCTCACTGGGGACACTCGTCCACAGGACATCCCTACATAAGATAATGTCTGTACATAAGACACTATCCGTACCTTGGACACAGTCCGTACTTTGGACACAGTCCGTACCTTGTACACAGTCCGTACCTTGGACACAGTCCGTATCTTGGACACAGTCCGTACCTTGGACGCAGTCCGTACCTTGGACGCAGTCCGTACCTTGGACGCAGTCCGTACCTTGGACCCTCGAAATACTTCCGAGGGCTCAATAAATAATAAACAACATGTCCTTTCTTCCATGTGACATTCTGGAGGACAAAAAGAAAAGGGACGCCAACGTGTCAGCAAAAACACAAATACAAGTTGGGACATCCGTAACTCTACCCTGTAGCCTCGAAATAGCAGCTGATTCAAATTATACAGCAAGACTTAAATAATCACCATTTCCAAAAGCTGGGATACAACAGAGCGTCAAAACAAAGTGAGGTTAAGCACGGAGACAGTTGACAGAAGCGATGTTGACAGCGCGCGCCTCCACAGAGCGATAACAGGGTTGTGTCAAACGAAAACAGGGTTGTGGACTAGAGAACGTAAAAATTACGCGTCAAATAAACTATCCGGCCTGAACGAGAGGGAATCCGGTGATGATAGGCCAGACATCATATATTATATTTAAAAAAGACATGTAACGAACTAAAAACGTTACAATGGTTTTGTAACAAATCTCTCTCTATTTTATGGCAAATGCTGAATCTCTGCAAACCTTTATCAAGCCTTAATCAAAGCACGTACGTTTGGAATTTTGGGTGTGGATTAACACGACAGAATGGGGCTAAGAGTTAGGCAGATTATTGAAATATAATATATATTTCCTTCGACCACACACCCGCTTTACCCGACCACTGAGAGCAACTCGAACAGTTCAGGGTAATATACTCTTAAGGATCTTAATATAACTAGAGTTATATTAAGTGTAGGTACCCTTGTCTGTTTCTAATAGCTTACAGGAAAATCTATTCCATGTTTATGCTGTACTATACCAGTCCTTATTCCTTCCAACCTTCTTGAGCCATCAATCAAGCTGTAAACTTTAGTCTTAACTACACAACCTCGCTTTTGCTTTGTGACAATACCTCTCTTTATTCCAGGCCATCGTCCAGCTCATGATCAACCCGTTCTCCGGAGCCCTCATCGACCGCATCGGCTACGACATCCCCATGATGATCGGCCTGTGCATCATGTTCCTGTCCACGGCCGTCTTCGCCTGCGGCCGCAGCTACGGAGTCCTCTTCTTCGCGCGCAGCCTCCAAGGAGTCGGCTCGGCCTTCGCGGACACCTCCGGCCTGGCCATGATCGCCGACCGCTTCACAGAAGAAACAGAGCGCTCCAAAGCGCTGGGCATAGCTCTGGCCTTTATCAGTTTCGGCTGCCTGGTAGCCCCACCCTTCGGAGGAGCGCTCTACCAGTTCGCGGGCAAGGAAATGCCCTTTTTGATCCTGGCTTTCGTGTCTCTACTCGATGGGTTCATGCTCTTGATCGTGATGAAGCCGTTGAAGGCTCAGTTGAAAGACGCGCAGGTCAGCAAGCCTCCGTCGGTTCCTATTTGGAGATTGTTCATGGATCCGTACATTGCTGTTTGTTCCGGAGCTCTAATGATGGCGAACGTAGCTCTGGCGTTCTTGGAACCAACCATATCTCTTTGGATGGAAGACAACCTTACGACGGACAACTGGAAGATCGGAATGGTATGGTTACCGGCGTTTTTTCCTCATGTTTTAGGTGTAATTATTACGGTAAAGATCGCAAAAAAGTATCCTCACCATCAGTGGCTTATGGCTGCAGTAGGACTAGCCTTGGAAGGACTATGCTGTTTTATAATACCGTTCTCTACAAGCTATGTGGTCTTGATGATACCGCTTTGCGGAATATGCTTTGGAATCGCCTTGATAGACACTGCATTACTTCCAACCTTAGGATACCTAGTAGACGTACGATATGTCTCAGTTTACGGAAGCATCTACGCTATAGCCGACATCTCCTATTCCGTAGCATACGCAATAGGTCCTATTATAGCGGGAGAAGTCGTAGAAGCTATAGGCTTCACAGCATTGAACGTAGGGATAGCTCTTTCAAACCTAGCATACGTACCCTTACTCTCCTACCTAAAACACATCTACGACTTCAAGCCCTTCGAAAACGAAGCCAATATCTTGATGTCAGACCCACCAAACAAGGAGTACCAAACTTACTCAATGCAAGAACAAAAAACCGTAGAAGAAAACGTACAAAACCACCTGGAATACCGTCAGCAAGAAACCAAGTTCGACGATTACGAGCCACAAAGCTACCAGTACCCGGAGCAGAATCAGTCGTACCAGAACCAAACGTACCAAGGACCTCAAGTTCCTCCTAGACCTGTCCAAGGTCAAGGGAGGGTATTACCTCAGCAACCAGCGAATCCTTTCAGGCCGCAAGGGCCACCTACAATGTCCACGGGAGGCAACCCCTTCAGGCAGGGTATGTAGATTAAGAGAATTCGTACTTAGGAGTGAACTAGCTAAAAGAAAATGAATGTAGTTATATGAAAATTTAAAGTTTTTTGTATATTATATAGGTATTTTATAGCCTGTGAGACAGAAATCAATTTTATTTTAGTCATTTCGCGATGTCTGATACCTAAAAAAGAATTTGAATGTATGGTAGAAAATGGTTCAGTATTGAAACTAAAAGATATAACTCCTAAAACTATTGAACTTATACAGGGTGTCCCAGGCTGAGCGTGCATTAGAAGTTTCTAGAGAACCACAATATCTAGATCAGAGATTTTTTCTAGATTCTTTCTTCCAGATGAAGAAAAATGTACGTTTTCAAACTAAATCTTAAATAACTTAAAAACGATTTATTTTAGGTATAGGAACATGTATAGGTACTCAAAAAGTAACGAATTGGAAAACCTTTTTACTAGTGAAATAAAAAAGTGGGTTTCCATTTGAAAAAAATGATTTATGATAATTTTTAATCGCTCAATTCCATGACAGCTACCGCCATTATTATATGACATTTGAACAATTTAATTTTTGAAATAGATAACCACATGTCTTCTCTTTATGTTACAGTGGCTGTGGTAATCACTAAATTTGACTTTTAGGCTCTACAAATTTTTTTGACTGGTAGTTTTTTTGGTCCAAAAATTTTAAATATTTTTTTTTCTCAAAAACGGTTTAATCGATAGATCTCGTTGTGAAACAATAATGTGCAAAGAATCTCCGATCTAAATATTATTGTTCTCTAGAAACTTCTAGTTGGCTTATGTCAAAAATCATCTGTTGTAAACTTTGTTAATAAAAAAAACTGACTCCAGGCTAAAAATGATTTTTTTATTGTTTAATATAAAGGTAAGATCAAAGAGGTTAAATACTGTAACTCAATATTTAAAAAAATATATGTTCTTGAAAAAAAACGTATTTGTTTTTGGTTTATAATTCGTTTGAGACTAAAGAAGGTTTAAACAAACTTGAAAGCTATAGGAGTTTTTATTCTTTTGAGATAAAGTTAGATGCACATAACTAAAGATAATTATTCTTTTGTGTATATTTTACAACAAAAAAAACTCTTTGATCCAATATAATAATTCTATCTAGTGTAGTTACGAGGGAATTAAATAATATTATATACAATTAAAAAATTCTATAAAACTCATATATAGTCTGTGAAACGAATAACTTTGAATTTGACAGTTCCCGCGGTCTTTTCTAGTGTTAATTTTATTAGGTTAGCAACTTGCGGCCATGCTGAAGCAATGCCATCTCTAATAGAACAGCCTCGGAGCGAGATTTATGACGTCACACTAGTTAGATATAACGGATTAATAAATATGGTGTAGAATACATGGAAAACATAATTATTCCTCGTATTTTTGGTTTGTATTTTAAAAATGATATAGTTTACATGAAATATACATAATTTATAGTTAATAAATACAATATATATACCTATTTATAGTAATAAATACTTTGGCAAATAAACTATGAATCATACAGATGCAACAAATACACACAAAGTCACAACCTACCAAAATAATATAATAATATTATTAAATAATTAATAATAAATACATTAGTAGTAGGTATTGAATGTTTTTTGTTAAATTAGATCGATTTTTCAATTTTTCAAACCTCAAAATTTAAAATATATTTTACATTTTACCCATTATCTTATGTCCCTATTTATTATTTGTATATTGTAAGGCATTTGCTGCATTTGTATGGTTCATAGTTTATTTGCCAAAGTATTTATTACTATAAATAGGTATACAGGGTTGTTCACCACATACGACACGGAATATTGTAGCTAAACGATTAGATTTTTACAAATTGTAAGTTTTGGGTTCGTTGAAGGAGTATTAGAGCTACAATTTAAAAATATTTTTACAAGACACAGAGTGTCCCAAATAAATAAAAAATATCAAAGTTGTATTTTTTTTAAATGGAACACCCTGTATATTATGACATTTTTAGTTTCTACGATTAAAATAAAGGTAAATTTGATTAAGGTTTATTACACTTAAACCTTACCGTTTTTGAAATATTTTCAATTTTGTGAAATTGCAGTATAAATTTTAAGGCTTCATTTCTCCGAGGGTATCAAAGTTTTTAATACTAAATATTTACTGAAGTTTATTTACTGATCAGTTATTGTGTTGCAATAATAAAAATAATACTACCTTATACAGAGTGTCTAAAAATTTATTTTAAATAATTACTAGCTTTAAACGGCAATAACTTGTTTAATTTAAATGGAACACCCTGTATATTTTATGAGAATCAGATGCACAATTTAATTGTCTATGAAATTGTATTATAACACTTTTTACCTATCCCTCAAACAACGGCGAATGCAGATTTTGTGGGGAAAATGGGGAAACACCAGAACACCTTATCACTGAGTGCGCCGAGACGACGACCATTCGTGCCATGAACCTTGGCACGTCTGATGTCGAGGATGGAGAGCTGGCCTCTGTGGAGCCGTCTCAGATACTGGCTTTTCTTAAAGCCCTGAGACTGTATGATGAGTTATAACTCGTTATAACTCAAGAAAGGGGAACACACAATAGATCTATAAGGTCGTGGTGATTAACTCCCCTTCTAAACATTCTACATTCATCCCTCAAGTTTTCGTAGAAAATGCATTTCCTTAGAATTTAGACCTCATTAATCAATATACCCATGGAATATTGGCATTTTAGATTGTTTTTAAAACAACAAATGTACAAATTATTACATTACATGCATTATTAACATACACAATATTTGTATAATTTGTAAATATCTAATCGTTTAGCTACAATACTCCGTGTCGTATGTGGTGAACAACCCTGTATATGGTATTTATTAACTGTATATTAAGTAAACTATATCATTTTTAAAATACAAACCAAAAATACGAGGAATAATTATGTTTTCCATGTAGTCTACAACATATTTATTAATCCGTAGTATCTAACTAGCGTGACGTCATAAATCTCGCTCCGGGGCTGTTCTATTAGAGACGGAATTGGTCTGATATTTAGAAATGTCAAAAGCTGATGACATTTTACTTTTGACAATTATGACATTTCGTGTTGATTTTTGGAAGAAGAGGAAGAACTGTCACTTGTTTTATTATCTTCCTTTTCTATTTCACGAAAGTAAAAAGAGTTACCTATCTGATTCCTTCAGGTACTCAATTTAAAGAATATCAGTAACTTTTTTGGTAGAGGGATTTTATATTTGCCATGTTGGTAAAAAATAACGGTCAAAATTAAAAGTTATTCATTTTATAGACCATAGTAGTCCGCTATTATGTACAAAATGTATAAAAATTACGTTGTTATTATTTTATAAGTACGAGTATAACTTTATTTTGAAAACAATTCGATTATGAATGAGTTTCTAGCGTTTTCTATATATAGGAAAATATATCAACTGAGATCGCAAACATATCAGAGCTTTCAAGCTCACGTTCTATACATATCGTGATAATAGACTTAAGTTTACTGTAAAATAGTTACTATAAATAGTGTATGATTCTCTGTCCGACATCTGAGACAGATAGATGTAAGCTTTGTAGAATATATACCTTATAAAAATATCGAAAAACTAACCAGTAACTTGTATCAATGTCGACAGAAACACGAATGCAACCAGCAATACACGAAATCCTTATGGCAGAATTTTGCGTTAGGATTTTGCGTTTTGTTGGTTGCATAAATATAGTAGTAATTGGCTAATTTTCCGAGAAGACATATGTCCTGACATTTCACGCATATCATAATAAGTGTACCTTACATTAATGGGACAACGTTGTGCAATTATTAGTTAATCCTAGAGAAAAAAAGTATTCATAGAAACCAACAAACTATATCTCTACGTTAGTTTAGACTAAAAAAGAAGTATTATATTTATTTTTCTTCGTAAATTTTCCGGTATACAGAACAATTCTATATAATCTGTGCTTGTACATTAACTTTGAACATGAACAACTTTTAAATATCGTAAAATGATTTTTTTTTGGAAAAAATAGTGAAAATTCTACATTTTTTTAAATGAAAATACAAAATAATCAGTAGAAAAATAGTTATTTTTTATACAAAACGATAAAATGGTATTTTATCGTCGACCAAAAAGATAAAAGCTCCGCGCGCACTGAATAGGTATCGGCGAGAGCGAGCGGCGCGATCGGCACGACCGGTCGGAAAGTCGATTGTAGCCGCGCACTGGAGTCGCACGATCGACGGTCGAGAGTACGTCACCAGCATAAATTTGAGCATAGACGAGGAGAGGTTTATTCAAATTTAGTCAAATTCATTCGGCATTTCAAAAATTATAAAGTATTATTACTATTTATATTTTATTCAACTTTTATATTTTATGCTTTATGATGGAAATTGATATTTAGATCTTAACCAAACACACATTAATATATTTAGATCTTAACAAACCATAAAAATTAGTGAAATAGAGTGGATGATGGGGATAAAATATACTACATGACTCATAGCTTGACCGATTTTAACAAATTTTAATGTATAACTCAAAAGGGTTTAATTTGTTCTTTTAAAAACAGCCAGATATGAAAATAGTCAAATAAAAACTTCTATTTTTAGTTTTTAATCTAAATAAGTGTCATTACAAACATTTATATAGTTTTATTTGTTTTAGATTTTCTCAAATAAACGAAATCTCAGAAAGAGCTTGAGCGACGATTGATTTGTTTCGATCATTATTATTCGAATTTTCAGAATCTATAATATACGTATAAATAATTTTCTACGTTTGTGGTAAAAAAAAAATTATATATTAAAACACATTGTTAGTGATAAAATTGTATTGTATATTATAGATTCTAAAGAAGACCGAATTAAAATTAGTCGAAACGTCAATCATTAAACAAAATGTAAACAAGTTTCTTGTTTTATTGACTACTGACTTAAAACCAAGATTTTAAAAACTTAAAATATAATAAAAAAGTCAAAGAAAATTGAAAAAAGAAAAAAATATAAATAGTTTTTATAGTACCGTATTATCGAAAAGGAACGGCATCAGCGATGACCATGA